AGCAAGGGGTGCCTGAAATTGTTGTCAATGGCGGCAGAAAAGGTTGCAAGAATGGTAAATTCATTCAAAGAGCGGAACATCGGCCGTGGATTACACAGATACAAGCTAAATTATTCTGCATTCTTAAACCCTGAATTTTTTTCTGGAAAAGGAAATTTACATGTTGGTCTTCACCTTGTTAAGAGTAGATTTACAGGCTAGAACATTTCCCATTATGCCAGTTTGACTCCAAATATATCCAGTGTAAGATTACAATAAACAGTTAGAATTCCAATTTGTACTTTGATATCAATAAGGAATTCATGGAGGTGGAGATGGAGGTTACTTTGTAGTTTAAACTTGAGTTTGATAAGTTTTTTGTGAATGGGTACACCATATGTAATAAGTAAACGTAAGAAAATAAATAATTTACTTACAAATTTAGAGTTTTATTTGTAAAATTAATTAAAGAATTTGGATTTTATCTTCTAAATTTAGAGGAAAGTTTTTAAAATAATTTTTTTATTCTTATTTAAATTTTACAATAAGTAAAATATTTATATAAAAATTTTGTTTAAATATTAAAAGAATAAACATAAATTTTTTTAAATAAAATTAAGATATTGCATTATAAATTAAAATTAATGATGTGTTTAAAATTAATGATGTGTTTAGATGATAGTTTATTAATATATATTATAATAATTTCATGATTTTACCTTATTTGTTTGTATTTTCAACCACAATATATAAGTTTTTTGTGGTTGTTGCATGTTTCTTAAAATCACAATTTTCTCCCTTTTTCAAACTACTGAATCAGTGATGCTGTGAGGTTTAAATGATTTTTTTTCTATTTATATTCTTACTCTTTTTTATTATTTACATTTATACCCTCATTTCATTTAATTATATTTAATTATATATATTATATATTTAATTATATACGTACATATATCTATATTTATTTATATATATAGGTATATAAAATATTTAACTATATATATTTTTTATTTTTTTATTTATTATTTCAGGAGTAAAATAGATAATATGATCAAATATACAATCATACAATCTTATCAATTTAAACAAAAATAACTGTTATTACCATACATTAATATATAATATTTTTAAAATACTATAACTTTATTATTATCATACTCTGCTATTATCATACAATATCATATATTAATCAACCATCTTGAAAGTCATCCAAACATACTCTAAAGTTAACAGTGGCCATTACAGAAATTACAAAAAAAATTCGGGGCAGAATTATCAGTTCAAGACCTGCATTGTTTTATAATAAAATACAACAACGTTTCTCTAGCAACTTGGCAATCTCAGTGTCTTTCCCCCTCTCACATTTTCTCATACTCGACTTTCAATTATCGTTTGCCATATCTCCTTGTCTTCGAACTTTAATTAGCTTCTTCATATTTTCTCTTGAATCTTTCTGTTTACTGAATGGAACAGTCATTACTGTCGCCATTCTTCATCCATGATCCATGGACCTAACTAGCGTTCACCGTTCATTGCTGCAGGTGCTAGTTTAAAAATTGTGTTGGTTGCCTTTAAATCAGGTCGAACTGAGATTTTACTCTTGAGTGCGTCTTGGTCTCCTCTTTTTCTGGTTCTATCTTGCACAAAAAAGAATTGTTTGATAGGTTGATTAAACCGGTAGTGATAATTGAAATTTCACATGATGCTTCTGAGTGTTTCATGAACTTACTACCATCAATTATTTCTATGACTTTCTATTTTCATAGTTTTATATTTTATTAGTATTATGCGATTTATAAATTTGTAACTAATGGCTTTAGCTTTTTTTTTCCTCTCTGTTTCTAGGATCTATCGTAAATAGAAACCCTAATATATAGTGTACTTAAAAAAAAACTTATGTAACGACCTCGAAAATACCCAAAGAAAATAGATAATAACTTAAGTGCGGAAGCAAAATAAAAGGGTTAAGATTTACATTTCTTACACAATAACCTAAAAATACTAAACAATATTACGGAATTCACCATTTTGAAAGAAACATAAGAAATAAGAAAATAAACGAAAAAAAGGAAATATCTAGCATCTACTCGCAATTTTTTTGCGGATCGAGTTCTGGAACCTGATTATCTTGATCTGAAATTGTTAAAT